CCCCCCCCCCCCACAGGGCCCTGCTCATCAACCAGCTGGGCCTGATCCTGATCGTGTTCAGTGCTGCTGGCTGTGGCGTGATCATGTTCACGATCTATATAGACTGCGACCCTCTCCTTGCAGGGCGGATCTCTGCCCCAGACCAGGTAAGTCCGGCCCCCGGGCTCCTAGGCCACTCCTACCCTCCCCACCCCCACTCTGAATTTCTACACTCTGGGGGGTGAGGGTAGAAGAGAGAAGAGCCTGCACAGAAGCCCAGGGGCAGGAAAGAGGATCTGGAAGGATTAGGGAAGATGAGGCAGTGTGGAGCTTTGGGGGGAGGGGCAGGGGGAGGGTGTGAGTAGGGGAGGGGCGCATTCAGATTTAGAGTCAGACTCCCTGAGGGATATCAAGGGGATAGGACCGTGGTCCAGCACGAAATGACGGTGTTGAGATTAATAATAATCACCAGCTCTCGTGTCCCAAGCACCTACTCTGTGCCTCATGCTGTTCCCTTCACAAGCAGTTGGTCTCCCATAAAATCCTTCAACATGCGATGAGGCCAAGGCTGTCACGGCCCCCACTTTATAGATGGGGAAACTGAGGCTGGAGTAGGCGGGCAGCAGCTGCCCGAGGTCCACAGGCAAGTCAGGGGCAGCACCAGGGCCAGGACCCATGCCTGGTTCAGAGTCCGTTCAGCATGAGCAGAAGGTGGAAGGCTGTCCCACCTGCTGTCCTCCCCTGGGGTCAGATCCTGGACTGTGCCTGTCAGCTTTACTGTCCTTGTCAATAAAATGGAGATGACACGGGACTCTGCCTCACTGGGATCCCAGGGCTCTGTGCGCGGTGGGGGCTCAGTGACTATCCTCGGGTGTATGCAGTCAATCAGCAAACACACACCAAGTGCCCGCTGTGAGCCTGGGCTGCACTGGGCCCTGGGGACATGCAGTGTGAAGACAGACAGAATCCCCTGTCCTTGGGGTGCTGCTGTCCTGGAGGTCGACCCCTGCCTCCCCCCAGTACATGCCCCTGCTGGTGCTGGACATCTTCAAGGACCTGCCTGGAGTCCCCGGGCTCTTTCTGGCCTGTGCCTACAGTGGTACCCTCAGGTGAGCAGTCCTGAGCAACCCCGGCCACATTTGAGCCCCTGTGGGATAGAATGTTCTGGGCGTGTCCTTCATTTACAGCTCCTGCTTGGTCCCCAGTGGGCAGCTCAGGGCCCCACCTGAGTCCCCTCTCCCTTCCTTCTTCCCCCAAACACATGTTGATTGAGCACCTGCTATGTGCTACTGCTGTTCTAAATCCCAGGGCACGGCCGTGACCATGTGGTCCCCTGCTCCAGCCCTCAGGGGGCCTCACGTTCTGGTGTTTTCAAATATTGCATGACTTCTGTCACACCCCTGCTCCACGCACCCGTTCTCTGTGCCCCAATATCGATGGCTCTGTAATGATAACTCCTGTCCTTCGTGTCTTTGGTCAAGGGTATCCTTGCGCCCGTGGGGGTGTCTCAGGTCTGGGGGCGGGGATGGTGGGACGGCAGGCACCTCCCCCACTCTTGGGGTATTCTGTCACCCAGGCCTCTGTCCTTGGGATGGGTGGGGTCCTGGGAAGTCAGATGGCCTGAGCAGCCGCGGCCTCCCCCAGGGGGGGTGTGGCCAGTCCCTCGATGGGACCTGATGACCACCCTCCCCGCCCCCAGCACCGCATCCACCAGCATCAATGCCATGGCCGCAGTCACCGTGGAGGACCTCATCAAGCCTCGGCTGCCGAGCATCACACCCCGGAGACTCATGATGATCTCCAAGGGGCTCTGTGAGTTCCGGGGTGGGGGGGTGTGCAGGGGGGAGACTCAGGGGCAGGGCAGGGGGGCATCTCCCTGCTGAGGGTGACATCCCCATCTGCTACAGCACTCATCTATGGCTCAGCCTGTCTCACCGTGGCGGCTCTGTCCTCACTGCTGGGGGGAGGCGTCCTCCAGGTGAGCCCCCCCTCCCGGGCCCAGCCCCATCCCGGCAAGGAGGGGGGCATCACCCTCATTGAACTGAAGTCCGCAGAGGGCCCTAGCTTTTTTTTGTGGCGGAACTGGGTTCTGTCTGATGCCACGGGCCTGATGCATTCTGCAGCCAGCCACCTGGCTGGTGGCACCTTGAGGTGGGAGGTGGGCGGTGGGTGGCTTGGAGGCGGGACCGGAATTTGTCAGGACAGAGAATCAGCGGTCTTTGCCTCCCACGCAGGGGACAGAGGCAGGAACGGGGAGTCCCCTCCCCTTTGGGGACACTGAAGCCGGGAGGGGTCTCTCGAGGCCCGCAGTGGGATTCCTCAGGTCTGGCTTTCCCAGCGGGGTGACTGACGCCGGGAGAGGTGGGGTGGCGCTGCCCTCAGCTCCCCCGCTCCCACCCACTGTCCCAGGGCTCCTTCACCGTAATGG